TGGTCCTCCATCGCCGCCGCCTCCGCTAATGCACTCACCGAGCCGCAAGGTTTCTGTCAAGGAGCAGGCAGAATGGAAAATTCCCCCTTGCATCTCAAATTGGAAAAACCCGCGTGGATATACAATTCCTTTGGATAAAAGGGTGGCTGCTGATGGTCGTGGCTTGCAGACAGTTCATATCAACGAAAACTTTGCCAAGCTGGCGGAGGCGTTATACACAGCTGATCGTAAGGCACGTGAGGCGGTTGAAATGAGGGCTGAAATCGAACGGAAAGTTGCTCTCAAAGCGAAGGAGCGTAGGGAGGAACAACTGCAACGCATAGCCAAAGAAGCCCGAGAGGCTAGGGCAGGCATTCGTCGTCCTGGATTTGATCCTGCTGATGAGGATTCAGGTATCGCTGATCGAGAAGAACTAAGGAAGGAACGCGCGAGAGACCGCGCACACGACCGAAACCTTAGTCGAACAGGTGCCGACGCCAAATTGCGTACCCAACGTGACAAGAATAGGGACATCAGTGAACAAATAGCCTTGGGTGTTCCGAATCCACGAGCAAATGCGAACTCGGAATCACTCTTTGATCAGAGACTGTTCAATCAGTCAAGCGGCTTGGACACGGGCTTTGCCGGAGGTATGATTCATTTTCATCATGCCTTACTTGCTTTCTCTAGGCACGGATGATCTGTACAATATCTACGATAAGCCATGGCGTCAAGAGTCAGATATTGGCTCCCACATTTATCGCCCACGACCAAAGGATACCGAAATATATGGAAATGATATCGAGTCTTTAAAAAATCAAAAGAAATTCGTCCCGGGCCGCGAGTTTTCTGGCACCGATCGAGGGCACCGCCTTGATGGACCTGTTCAATTTGAGAAGAGTACTGTTGAGGAGGAAGATCCTTTCAATTTGAGCAAATTCTTGCTTGAGGCCAAAAAGTCCCAGAAACGGCCAGGCGATTCTTCGACTGATACATCCGCTAACCGCGATACAACACACAGAAAACGAGATCGTCGTGATTAAGAACATCCCAAGACTGACTTGTAAATATCTTTTTTATTGTGTGATCATACTGATCTTGAGTATACTTAACCCAGTTGCAATGGTTTCGCCGTTTATTTTATTGAAATAACTTGTCTTAGTCCAGTTTTCCATCAATCAC